TAAGAATATACACGATAAATCAAGGTCAGCAATGGCGGATTCCGTATTTTCAAAAGTGGAAGCGGAGAGACTTACCGAAATGTATTACAAAATATTATTTGCCAATACGGAAGAACAGTCAAAAATTCAAAATGCAATAAAAATAGTAAATTTTCTGAAACAAAAACGGGAAATTACCTCCTCCCTAGGAAACGACATTCCTGAGTGCTCATTAAGACAGTGTTTGATATGCTCTATCAGCGACCATTGCCACGTTTGATTCATATCATTTCGATTACCAGAAATACTTTTTTTACTATACTAGTACGCTGATTCTCACGTCATTTAAACGTTTTATAGGCTAACTGGATCCCTGCATATTTGAACTGATAGAGAAATTGTGACTGTTTGACATTTTTCAAACACTTGTCTTTATTCTTTTGTACATAATCCAGCCCTGCCTACAGAAATATATTAATTTTATCTTTTAAAAATAGTTATCGAAGCAGCCATATGGAATTTATCCCCATTAGAATATTCATCCCTTAGCTCAACGTACTGACGTAGATTTAATGCCCAACAAACGCACAAATGAGGTCAAATAACGTCACCTACAGCCAAACACTTTGACGGAAAGATAACGATTGGAATCAAGCGGCTCATAGGCTTTTATTGTCCCAAATAAGGCACGACGTTAAAGTTTTTTATGTTTAATAGTATGTTTTAACCCAGTTTATAGAATCGAAACGTTCATATACCATACTGTTGCTTTCAAAATACTTTTGAATTTCACGATTTATCTTTGAAAAAAAAAATGAAAGATATCAGAGCGAAAAAAAATAAATTGTTTATTTTATGGGGAGGATCCCATTATAAAATGAAAAAAATATATATATATACTCTAAGATGGAATCAATATACTATATAATAGCTAGGTGTCAAACGTGTTTACTCGATCTTACTAAAAAAAAAACCTTGAACATGCGCATTGTGCGAAATTTTATTTGGAATTTAAATCAAAATTAAAACGTCTATACAAATACTTATTTTGAAGGACGTTACTTACAAAATAAAGATACACTAAGCCAATGATCTAATGGAATATAATTGTAACGGACTGGAGTTACTTTAATTGTCTATTTTAAATATATTCCATTTCAGGTGGTACTTATAATAGTTAAACTTTGCTTAGGTCACACCAATTTATTTTATAAATTTTTAAGTGGTTTTAAATAGCTGTCCGACATAATTACTTAGCTCTATTTTGGGTTTTTTGTTTGTTTGTTGTTGCTTTGATTATGGATTTGAGTTGTGATTGTTTACCGTAACGGTTCAAGAACTTAATCAATCATTCTGTTGCAGTGCAAAAGGATTGTTTCCATTTAGTTTTATTGTTTAATTTCACGGTGTAATTAATTAATTAATTTGACCTGATCGGGCTTGACACAATTTATGTTATCAATTCTTAGCTATACAATGTTCTACAATTTACTTGTTGTCTGGTAAAATTGAAAAAAAAAAACATTCGTGTTTCACTTTTTATGCCTCATTTATGGGCATTATGTTTTTTGGTCCGTTCGTCCGTCCGTCCGTCCGTCCGTCTATCCCGCTTCAGGTTAAAGTTTTTGGTCAAGGTAGTATTTGATGAAGTTGAAGTCCAATCAACTTGAAACTTAGTACACATGTTCCCTATGATAATATGATCTTTCTAATTTTAATGCCAAATTAGAGTTTTGATCCCAATTTCACGGTCCACTGAACATAGAAAATGATAGTGCTAGTGGGGCATCCGTGAACTATGGACACATTCTTGTTAATTATTTAAACTAACACCATTTTGTTTACCTTTATTTATAATAAGGAAATAGTCTTCGATATGGCCTAATAAGATATTACCTGTGTTTCCGCTAACATGCTAAAAATAAGTGTGGGTACTTAAAAAGGCAAATAGTTTTTGTATTTTGAAGTTTTTGACTTATTTAATAAGGGGACTTAACTTAATTAACAGTCGAACTTTAATAATGCTGTTTCAAAGATAACAAACAAATCTTGAGTTAGGGATAGCGGAAACACAAGTAAATCTTATAAGGCGTATTGTAGCTGTTAAGAGTGAAATTGCCAAAATAACTTTTGTTATTACATGAATTTCAATTATTATCCTAAAAATATGACCAAAATCTATATAATTGAATAAAATGCAATAATCAAAATGAAAAAAGCCCCCCCCCCCCCCCCAAAAAAAAAAAAAAAAACAAACAAAAAAAACTCCCCACCCCCACCCCCCACCCGCCCCGAAAAAAATACACAAAAACAAAACAAAGGATACTAGAATAAAAAAAATGAAATCTCCGTTTTATCATCAGTTATCCCCTTTTCCCTTTCTTACAAACTGTGAGGTAATTGTAGTCTAGCATTGCGTTGGGAATTTCGTATATGTAAATATAAATAATGGTTCATTCATGATAGCCGGTAAAACAATTTTCACCATTAAATGTATTAATCTAAGTTTTATTACAACTTTTTAAAAAAACACAAAGGAATCGTTTTTGTTTGGTAAATCATAAGTTACCTGTAGGTTAGGATCCAAGGTAAAATCATTCTGTCCCGATGACTAGATCTGATGACATAGGGTTTATCTGGGTTTATAAGGAGAAACTGGATCCCTATTTTGTTCTTTAAAAAAGAGTTCATCGGAAACACTGTTGAAAATGACAATCCAAAACAACTTTTGATTTATAAATTAAACACGAATAAGGCTTTTATATTTTTGTCAGGATATACCGAGTTTAATCCCAAATTGTTCCCCAAACATTCTTTGAATGTCGTGTTATTTGAAATCCTTTAATAATTGTACACAATAAGAAAATAGCCTAAATAAATATAAATATCAATATCTGTTTGTTTTTGGATCCTATATTGACAAATAATACAATAAGTATATATGTAAATTGATCTGGTTAAGGTTGAGAGGATAACGGTTCTAAACATCACCCGTACTACATTGGCTTAAGTATATTTCAAGTTAAATTCGGAAAACATATTGATTGCGTTTTTTTCTGATATATTAATGGATGTAAATATTCTGGAAGGAAAATTCACAAAACCTTATTTCATAGGAAAACATTGATGACTAAAATAATTCTCAGTGATTGATTTTACCTGGAATCTCTTTTTCTTGAAATGCTTAAGCATTTGCAGACGACATCATCGTAAATGGGCAGACGTCGCCTCAAAGCTTTATTTTACGGTATTATTTTTTGTGGAGTTACTTTTTATTGTTTCTTTCTTGGATTTCTTCTTGTGAAAATACGAGATTTAAAACATGTAAATACTGCTACAAGTTTCGATCTCACCGACAATTCAAAGGAATCATGGCGTCATCGTGGTGTTACAAGCAATAATCAAGGTTGTAATAAGCTTTCTAATAACCCGTATGGATTATTGAATTTATTTACCACTATTTCTCTTAAACCGTTATGGCAGAATGTTAGTTTTTGCGATATGACTTATGTATTTTCTGCGTTCTATCACAGTAAAGATCTTATAAGTATAATATCAACAACTACCCGTAAAAGTTTGTTAGATAGGAATGTGCAGTACCAGTGTCGATTCTTCAATGAATTTTCGCTTAATGCGTTAAGTAATTGTAATGAAACTATAGTAAAAAGGAAAGCAATGCCGGAAAACCGAGGGAAAAGGTTTGTCCTCTATTTAGATATGAAATGAAATAGTAGTTTACTTTAGTTTGTCATTAATCAGGTGCTTATATAGCATGTTCGCCCGAGTTTGCGCTCGAACCGAATTCGTATTAAGCCATGCTCTTAAATCTTAATTTGTTGCTTCTCATCCGGGCATATGGTATTTGCAAGAAATAGCTAACTTTAAAAGTAGACCGACTTGGAAGAGAATACAAACTTCGACTCATCCTGTCGATCAGACTAGCACAAAGCAGGATTCTCCGCGTCCTCGTCTAGAATGTATTATCCTTTGTTTTTCATTTAGGATTCAAATACGTTATCATGTGTATGTTAGTCATCTATCTAATCCATTGGGTTCACATGGGTATATAAATGGGGTCATCAAGATTCCTCCTCTTAAGCTTTAAATCCATGCAGAGGGGGTGTTTGTTTGGCTATTTTGGATGAATAGATACGTTCCGTCAAGTCTGGCGGAATCGGAAATTTAAATTGATGACTTAGGAAGGCAGATGTCAATTTCTCAGTAGCACGTAAAAACACAACTCTATCGTGTAAGGCGGACTGTCGTAATGCCAAACTCCGGCCTCTATCTAAAGACCATCTTTTTGAACAATCCACCAATCAAGCAGTCAATCAATTAATTAATCTCCCATCACTGTTATTAGTGTATTAACGTTGATAGTGGTCCCTGTGTGGAATTCATGTAACAATATATGATGATTGTTAATATTTCGTCTTAGTTGCCCTTGTAGAAATACATTTGTAACTCTATGTATGAGTGATCAGATCCAGTGACCTGTAAAACTGTAACAGTAGATGTCAAATTAGACCATTTGAACTGCACATACATCTAATATTAGATATTGTGAAAGGAAATGTACAAAAAATGATGTATGACACTGCACATACAATCTACAATTCTAAATATGAAACAAAAACATATACAATAAAAAGTAAAATAACAAAAATACCGAACTCCAAGGAAAATTCAAAACGGAAAGTCCCTTATCAAATGGCAAAATTAAAAGCTCAAACACACCAAACGAATGGAAAACAACTGTCATATTCCTGACTTGGTACAGGCATTTCCTTATGTAGAAAATGGTGGATTAAACCTGGTTTTATAGCTAGCTAAACCACTCACTTGTATGACAGTTGCATACAATTCCATTATATAGACAAACAATTTGTGAATAAAAAAAACCCAGACATAATGTACAAATTACTTAATTTACTTACTTAATGATGCACATGCTTTAAGATAACAGGAAAAAAAACAACAATCAAACAAACAAAATCGTTATCTTTTTTTTCTCATTTCAGATACAGTGCTGCATTTTATACATGTCCATTACCAAAGTCGACTCGTCCATACGCCGTATCATTGTCAACCGATCATTGTAAATCTCCATCAAACATCTTGCCAATAATTTACCCTCAGCAACAGAAGAGAAAATTTACCGTCTGTGTTTCTCCATTGAATTATCGCTACAGTAAAGCCTACGAGCTGGTGGAAATGATTGAATTAAATAGAATATTAGGAGCAGAATATTTTGTGTTTTACAATTATAGCACAGACTCTAATGTGGATAGGGTTCTAGAATATTATAAAGAACAAGGATTAGTTGAAGTTTTAAAATGGAATCTACCGATGAAGGTTGATACATGGCCAAAGAAAAAAGAGCCTGTAGAAATTCATTACTTTGCTCAACTTGCAGCATTAAATGACTGTTTATATCGCAATATGTACCTCAGCAAATACGTTGTCTTTCAAGATTTAGATGAATTTATTATACCAAAAAAACACTTAACTTGGTCCGATATGATGGAAGCTCTTCCGAAAGGTTCAGGTGCTTATATTTTTAGGTGTTTTTTCTTTCGAAAAGAATGGCCGGACACAACGAGAGACTTTGAAGGTAAAGATAAAGCTCAAAAATATAAAATGAACACTTTATTGAAGCAAAAGCGAGAATCTAAATTACTGGGAAAAAGCCATCGATCTAAATATATTATTGACCCAAAACAAATCGATACTGTAGGAATTCACAATATATGGCGGTACCGGTCGGGTTCTAAAGCCCATTTTGTTGATTCAGAATTCGCTCGCATGCATCATTACAGGGACTGGTTAAATCCAAATGATGCTAACACAGGTATTGAGGATAATAGGACTATGGTTTATAAAAATGAATTGTTACAGAATACAGTACATGCATGGGAAAAATTAATAGATGTGCCTTTAGGACCAATCATCCATCCATGACCTCAAATTTGCAATTTGTGTCAAAAGAAGAATTGACACTCTAATTGATGCCAAAACTTATTAAAATTATTTGTTTTTTTTCTAAAATTGTTGAATATTATAAATATTGAATTTTGATAGATTTCATAGTTAATATTGCCATTCAGAGAATTAACCTTGAAGGAGGTTATTTCATAAAAAAAACTTATCAAAGACATCAAGCTTGTTATAAATCAACTTCATCAATCTATTGTTAAACTTAAACATATAATTATTGAATTTAGTTATCTAAACAAGCCACAAATTTGGTTCCAGTGGCATTTGTTCTGCCATCATGTGAAATATAGAAATATGAGTTCACAAAAAGTAAGAAAGTATGTATAAAAAAGAGGCGGAAGATGACACTCAAAACTCACAAGTCGAGAGAAAATGACAACGCTATGTAAAAAAAACCCGAAAGACGACGAAAGATTGACAGTTCAGGAAACGCTAGATAGAAAACTAAGAAACACGAACCACATAAAAAATTAGGGGTGAACTGAGATACTTATATAGATTGTGCAATAAAAACCACAACTGCGTGAAAAAGACAACACCATAGCAAAAAAAAAAAGGTATTATTAACTGATGCACAAACCACCATGGCTAGTTAACAAACACTACACAAACACGCGAACCCAACGAAAAACCGAAGATGAACTGAGTTGCTCCGGGACGGTCATCATTCATAGCACTTCCAGTGACATCCGCCGAGTTACTCATGGCAAGTAATTAGTGAAGTTACAAACGAGTTAAAGAAGACGGGGTTGTGGCTATTACATGTGGTACACTCATTTATGAAAAAGATGTTCTATAACGGTGACAGATCATGATCACATCCGTAATACTTTCGAAAGATCACTTCAACTTTACCATAAAGTACCCTTGCGTCAGATATTTCCTTGTAAGCACCAACTAACGTTAAACATTTTTTGACATTGCTGACATTCTCAGCAGTGAACCTTGGTTGAATATCAAGAAATAGTTTTGTCTTTGACCTGGCAATCATATTAAAAACTTGTTTTGAGAATATTTGCAAATGTGAACAACTCGTGCATTTTGATATGGTGTTTGGTTGATTTATTTTATGTTGAATTTTTTCCATCAGTCAAAAGAACGCTATGACCGGAAAAAAGAAAGTTCTCAAACGAAAAGAGACGATGGAAAAAATGCAATGTATACATTTAGTAAAGAATAAACAGCTGCGCAGAATGTGCATAATACACCTGTTCACACATTAGAGTGAAGAGACGATTCAGTGTTTTAGCCATAATTTAAAGGCAAAGGGCACAAATTTAAGTTGAAGGGCACAAGTCATTAGCGCGATTTCTTGTCTGAAAAGTGACAAACTTGATCATGTATATAAAAAATTAACAAATTGAAGTTTTTAGCTGGATTTATGGTATTTTAGGGGTTGTGAAAAAGCTTTCGCCAATATTTAAAATGCCAATTTTGAATTAAAAATTATTTATATCCTTCCGAAGACAAAAAAGCATAGGGCAGGCCAACAAGGACAGAGGAGCCGCGGCCCGCTATTTTAGATTAGTTAGGACACTGCGGTCACAGTGTATATAAATTTAATCATTTCTTTGAATGAAAAAATCCGTATGTAAATATTTGAATCGATTCATCAAAGCATACTTCAGATATGAAAATATGACTAGTTTATTTTAAGGTTGATCTCCAATAACTCTATAATCACTGACCTAAACATTTTACAATCAAATTGGGAGCTTACTATTTTTTGTGATTTATAGTAAAAACATATGGGATGCGTTCAATGAAAGCAAACGCGAGTTTTAGCCTTATATATATATATATATATATATATATATATATATATATATATATATACATGTATAAATATTCGTAATTTTCAAGTTTTTGACGATATTAATTCCCATAACACAACAGCTATTCTGAAAATCTTCAAAATCAAAATGTGCTCTTTTCAATGAAACCTAGCATTGCGCAAAAATTTCATAAGGCATTAAAAAATCATGCATTAGTTATCGTTGGACATAATGAAAAATAGGCTCGTTTTTGTCACGCTTGACGTAGTCAAAAAGCGAGACATAGGTATGCTGTTTCCGGCGTCGGTGACGACGACGACGGCGGCGGCGTCAACAATGTATTAGTTTGTGATTAGATCTAGTTTGTGGTGAACCACAAGTTGAAGATCAATCATATTTGGTATACATTTGTATTAACATTGGCACATCACATTTCCATGGAGATTATTTGGCCCTGCCCCCTCAGTCATGGTCTATTGACTTTTTAACTTTTGCTTATTTTACATGTATTAGTTTGTGATTAGGTCAGTTTATGGGGAACCATTAGTGGTAGGTCAATGATATTTGGTATACTGTACCAGTTGTATTAGCATTGGCACATCTCATTTCCATGGAGATTATTTGGCCCTGCCCCCTCAGTCATGGTCTATTGACTTTTTAACTTTTGCTTATTTTACATGTATTAATTTGTGATTAGGTCAGTTTATGAGGAACCATTAATGGTAGGTCAATGATATTTGGTATGCAGTTGTATAAACATTGGCACATCTCATTTTCATGGAGATTATTTGGCTCAGCCTCCTTAGTAATAGTCTTTTGACTTTGAAAATTTTGCTTAGTTAATATTTATTAGTTTGTGATTAGGTCAGTTCAAGGGGAACCATTAGTGGTAGGCCAATGTTAATTGGTATTCAGTTGTATAAGCATTAGCACATCTCATTTCAATGGAGAATATTTAAACCCACCCCCTCAGTCATGGCCTATTGACTTTGAAACTTTTGCTTAGTTTACATGTATTAGTTTGTGATAAGATTAGTTTAAGATGAACTGCTAATGTTAAGTCAATGATATTTGGTATGCAAATTTATTGGCATTTGTTAGTATCGTTTCCATTGAGATTATATAGCTCCACCCGCTCTTCATGGTTCATTGACTTTGAAACTTTTACACATTTTACAAGTTAATGTTTGTGTTTAGGTTTGTTTAAAGGGAACAACTTATAATAAGTCAATGATATTTGGTATGCAGTTGTATAAGCATTGGCGCATCTCAATTACATGGAGATGGTTTAGCTATGTACCTCAGTCATGGTTCATTGACTTTGAATATTAGCCGAACTTGTTAAGTATTGCCATTTTAATTTCAACATTTGCATAATCAAAATTACAAAAAATATCTCTGTGATAACAGTTTATTTTTTTTTGTTCACAATTAAAGTCCAATAACTCTGAAACGACTAATTGAAAAATCGTCAAAATTGAAGGAGACATAAAAATTCATGATTTAATGAAAACAAATTGATTTATCACCAGGCATATGAAAATTTCCTAGCTTTTGACGATTAAAATCCAATTACTTTGTTAAGTTTCATAATTATTCAATAAGGAATACTTGAGTTAAGATAAGTAAATGAAAAATTGAATTTTCTAATTAATCAGTACTGTTATGGAAATTGCAACTTTTATAATGGATTAATATAACATTGACCATACTTCCTAAAGTCTGATTGAATTCGCTCAGCTTTGTATTATTATTTGTACATGACGGATTCATCAACAAAATATGTTTATACTAACCATTACTGTGCCTCAAGATGTTTCAATGCAAACTATTCTTCTTTGGAGGACAACAGCGGACATGCTGGCCGATTGTGTACAGTCATATACAGAAAAATAGATTGGTAATTTAAATTGATATTCAGAGTTATGAAGAAATTAGAGATATATGACGTAGGACCAATCTTAATAAAAAACGCACTTATAAAAGAGAAGCGATACCAAAGGGATATTCAAACTCACAAGTCGAAAACATACAGACAATGCCATGGCAAATAACGAAAAATGATCAAAAGACAAATAACATTATACAAAACTTAACATAGAAAACTAAAGACTGCGCAAAACGAATCCCATCAAAAACCGAGGATGATCTCAGGTGCCCCGGAAGGGTAAGCAGATCTTGCTCTACATGTGGCACCCGATAAGATATCGTATATTGTGCTTAAAGGTCTACACCTCAACAACGTCAAAGGTTTTCAAGTTATTGCACGGGCACTGTTTGGCAGCCACCAGGCCACCAAGCCGTACATCACCAAATTAATAACCGACATTTCCTTTGCAAATCCGGTTAAAAACTGTATAAATGCCTTATATGTTATAACTACAAAAGAGGTTAGCTTATACATCTGATCTTTATCAAACTCGGCATAATAGTTTCACGTTACGGCGCATGAACATTAATCAAAATGAGTCCAATAATTGTGCAATGTAATTAAAACGTCTTCTGGATTGTCCTTAGTTTATGTATAATCATTTACATGAATGTAAAGTTAATTATTGATCAGTGCTGAATTCAACACGGAAGTGTACAAGTCCCCGCCAGTTTATATTTTAGCTGGAATTACTTCATAATATTCAAAGTGATTACATATGAATGCGTTTTAGAAAATTATACGATAAAACAAAAATGCTGTAGATTTATTATCTTTTTAATTAAATTTATATGGCAGAAATAGTTTCACAAACGATGATCAATTGTAATATAATGGTATAAAACGTAAACAGCAATGCATACAAGATGTGTTAGGGAGCTACCAAATGATTCTTATGGGGAGGGGGAGGGGGGGCTAGGATGAAATTTGAAAAAAAGGCAGGACAGGAGTTTTGAGTTAAAAAAAGGCAGGATGAGCAACTTGGCAAAACGAAAAAAGGCAGGCTGACAATTTATGTAAAAAAAGTCAGGATAAACTAATAAAAAACAGCAGGACCGAACAGAGAGAAAAATAAAAAGGCAGGACAGATTACAACTAAAAAAAAAATACAGTACGAAATTTTTCATCTTAGCCCCCATAAAATTCAAATGGTAGCTTCCTTACGCCTTAAAATAGGAGAATGCCAACATTACAATATCTCTCTATAGATGTACAGGCAGTCACTCACAGAAACCGCAGTCATGACGGTTTGAATATACTACAATTGAGAGACAGCAAGAAGTAAACAAAGATGAAGTTAATTTATTTTTTAGCCTTCTAAAACAATCCTACTGGTCAACATTTTAATAGGCACGTGTTTTAATGGACTTCAATAT